TACTGTTCATATGTTCAGCTGCGAGCTTGTCTGCTGTCACTGTTGGCACTGAAACTGTTACAAATGTGTCCAACTTAAGAGTCATTTTTATATCCATTTCTTACAGCAGTTAGTCATCAAGACGTTTCACATTAGTTTTCCTCAGATCTTCCACAACCAAGTTAGGGTGCGCACACAGTAGAATGTGCAACCACAGCACATCCACACTTACCATGACAGCGGCTGTATGTAGAGTTAGTCGCAGTATTGCTCTCCGGTATGTAATGTGCACTTCACTAGAGCTGGGCGATATGAGATTTTTTCATATCACGATATGTTTTTTTCATTTCAGGCGATAACGATATCTATCACGATATAAGCCAAATAACTATATTTGTAAGATTTAAATGTGCCGTTGCTCACAAGTAAAATGTGAAATAATCAGCAGCTTGTTTTTATTTAAATATTTATTTCCCATAATAAGTTCAACAGGGTAGATGTACTTAAGGAACATGAGACTTTTTCAGATAAATAAAGGCAAATATTGCAAACTACACAAAAGGCAGCCGCTAAAGCGTTTAAGTTTCAAAATAGAACAAACGAAACAGACTAAATTGTCAATTCCACTTAGAAACAAAATATTAATTCTAAAAATAAATCTTAGTTTGTTTTACAGAAGAACAGACAAAACTGACTAACTTTTGTCAATATCAAATAAACTGAGAACTAAAAGGAAATTCTCAATCTCTCCTTGTTGTATAGCTTAGCTTTTCAAACAGTTTTAACAGTTACTTTAGTCTGACAAAAGCCGAATGACGAATTAGCGCTTCCAGTCAGAGACTGAGGCTACGTCCACACGTACACGGGTATTTTTGAAAACGGAGATTTTCCGTTTTCGTTTTAAAAAATAATCCCGTCCACACATAAAGGCAGAAATGAAGGAAAACGCTGCTATGAACATGCCAAAGCAGCAGGTGGCGCTAGATTCCTAACCGTGCAGAAATGTTGGCCAATCAGAAGTCTAGAAGCCTCGGTGGGAAAAAGTAAACAAAGCTGGGGCATAGAAGCAGAACCGAGTCGTATGTGTGGAGGGACAGTAACTGTGTGTATATGTAAGCATTTAAACACTGCAGAGAGTAGAATTAACAGTAACAGTATTGTAGAAATTCATTTCACCGAAACAATAACGTGGCGCACAGTGTGACGCATGCACCAGTTTATTGTATTTCCAGACTTGCTTTCGGCACAATTTACAGTGCACGCTACTCTGTTTTTTGTCAGACTTGAAATAGCCGAAATACCTTCACACTACGGAACTTCTATGGCTCTTCCGTTCGACAATCTCTCCGGCATTGGAACCATCATCTGTTTTCTCTTCGGTCACGCTCGGTTGATTTTTCTAGTCGGCACACTCATTTCCTCCATTACCCGCTGGCTGCTTCCCAAACAAACACACGTGCGGCTTTCACGCGACGTGACGCTGCGGCTGTGATTGGTTCGGCTCTGCGCTACTTAATTTGGATTGGCTGACCTTTTTTTTTTTTTTTAGAGGACAAGAGCGGCGAGGTCTATCGCGATAGCTTAATTTCTCTATCGAGTAAAAGTTATATCGCGATACATATCGTTATCGTTCTATCGCCCAGCTCTAAATCAGCTAATTTTAATAATTGGATTAGAAAATTATTAAACTCAAATGTGTTTTCTTTGTCTTGGGTAGACTCTGATATACTCATTCCTTGTAAATGGCCTGTATTTATATAGCGCTTTACATATCCAGTCATTCACACATTCACACACTGGTGATGGCAGCTACATTGTAGCCACAGCCACCCTGGGGCGCACTGACAGAGGGAGGCTGCCGGACACTGGCGCCACCGGGCCCTCTGACCACCACCAGTAGGCAACGGGTGAAGTGTCTTGCCCAAGGACACAACGACCGAGACTGTCCAAGCCGGGGCTCGAACCGGCAACCTTCCGATTACAAGGCGAACTCCCAACTCTTGAGCCACGAGCTGGTTTCTCAGTTGTGCGTCTAAGTCTCCTATTTCTATATTTATTTTGGTTTGAATCTTTTTTTTATTAATTAAAAAAGAAAATGTAGAGTTTAAGAAGAGTGAGACCAACCCTTTCAGCAGTCTGTACATAAGCTCAAGGCGCTGTCATATGTGCAGACATTTGAAGGAACGCTCATGAACCTTTAGTTTGCAGCTTCTCGTCTGCGTTTTGTACACCAACACATTACAATAAAAACTGCCTGCAGAGCCGGCAGAGAGAGCGCCAAGTATGAGGGAGTGCCTGATTTTCAGGGTCAGTGCTTGTTTGTCAGGTTTAATCTATCAGTTACTGGGCCAGATACATTTGGCCAGTGCTGACATGGGGCCCACTGATGGGATCAAGCACGCTGCTTCCACCACAGTAGTTTAGCAGCAGCAGTGTTCATACAGAGCTCCTTTCTATCATCCAAAACACTCCCAAATTAATACATAATTTCTTCGTGAAATAAAGTACATCAAAGTTTAACGCTCTAAAGTCATTTCATGTGAACTTCAAGCAGCAAGTCCTGGTGATGTTCCCACAGCTTCCCACGTTCAAGTAGCCAAATTGAAGCGTCAGGTAAGATAACCAGGTGTGCTTTGAAGAAGGGCTTCTGTGAAAGGAGTCGAGTGTAGCTGCATCTGTAGGGTGAAAACTGTGGTCACAGCGGCAGGTTAATGGGAGTCAATGGGAGTAAATCGTTGTAGATAAATTGCTCATTTGAAAACAGGTGAGGTTAATAAAGTGGTGGACATGATCAAATGTGTGTGTTTCTAATAAATATATTGTAAGTTCATAAGAAAAGAGAGAAAGGGGGCGTGGTGAAAAGCTGTAGTTGACCTGACAACCTTCAACTTCGCACTAAGCCAGTGGTCCCCAAAGTGGGGGGCACGCCCCCTAGGGGGCGTGCCGAGCAGAGCATTGCAGGGAGGGGGTGTGGTATAAATTAAAAAAAAAAAATGCTTAGACGCTGCTGGCATAATGGACAAACGCAAAAAACACAAAGCAGGGGATGAAGCATCGGCAAATATTCTTCCACACCAACTTCTTTCTAAGCCAAAGACTAGAAAAGATGATGAAGCTTAGCATTCTCATTCCCAAAGTGTAATACTGATGATTGTCTCATATTAACACGAAAGGTACCCTTCAGTGTCCTGATGATATGCTTTGGATTCTCAGTTGAATCCAATAGAATTCAGCTTGTGGCGGTAACACGCTCCAGCATGTACTCCAGCCCTCACCTCAACCTAGAGCTGGGCGATAGAACGATAACGATATGTATCGCGATATAACTTTTACTCGATAGAGAAATTAAGCTATCGCGATAGACCTCGCCGCTCTTGTCCTCTAAAAAAAAAAAAAAAAGGTCAGCCAATCCAAATTAAGTAGCGCAGAGCCGAACCAATCACAGCCGCAGCGTCACGTCGCGTGACTTGTTACGTACAGCACAAGTGCCAAGCCGCACGTGTGTTTGTTTGGGAAGCAGCCAGCGGGTAATGGAGGAAATGAGTGTGCCGACTAGAAAAATCAACCGAGCGTGACCGAAGAGAAAACAGATGATGGTTCCAACGCCGGAGAGATTGTCGAACGGAAGAGCCATAGAAGTTCCGTAGTGTGAAGGTATTTCGGCTATTTCAAGTCTGACAAAAAACAGAGTAGCGTGCACTGTAAATTGTGCCGAAAGCAAGTCTGGAAATACAATAAACTGGTGCATGCGTCACACTGTGCGCCACGTTATTGTTTCGGTGAAATGAATTTCTACAATACTGTTACTGTTAATTCTACTCTCTGCAGTGTTTAAATGCTTACATATACACACAGTTACTGTCCCTCCACACATACGACTCGGTTCTGCTTCTATGCCCCAGCTTTGTTTACTTTTTCCCACCGAGGCTTCTAGACTTCTGATTGGCCAACATTTCTGCACGGTTAGGAATCTAGCGCCACCTGCTGCTTTGGCATGTTCATAGCAGCGTTTTCCTTCATTTCTGCCTTTATGTGTGGACGGGATTATTTTTTAAAACGAAAACGGAAAATCTCCGTTTTCAAAAATACCCGTGTACGTGTGGACGTAGCCTCAGTCTCTGACTGGAAGCGCTAATTCGTCATTCGGCTTTTGTCAGACTAAAGTAACTGTTAAAACTGTTTGAAAAGCTCAGCTATACAACAAGGAGAGATTGAGAATTTCCTTTTAGTTCTCAGTTTATTTGATATTGACAAAAGTTAGTCAGTTTTGTCTGTTCTTCTGTAAAACAAACTAAGATTTATTTTTAGAATTAATATTTTGTTTCTAAGTGGAATTGACAATTTAGTCTGTTTCGTTTGTTCTATTTTGAAACTTAAACGCTTTAGCGGCTGCCTTTTGTGTAGTTTGCAATATTTGCCTTTATTTATCTGAAAAAGTCTCATGTTCCTTAAGTACATCTACCCTGTTGAACTTATTATGGGAAATAAATATTTAAATAAAAACAAGCTGCTGATTATTTCACATTTTACTTGTGAGCAACGGCACATTTAAATCTTACAAATATAGTTATTTGGCTGATATCGTGATAGATATCGTTATCGCCTGAAATGAAAAAAACATATCGTGATATGAAAAAATCTCATATCGCCCAGCTCTACCTCAACCGTATGAAATAGTGTTTCATGATCAGAACATAAAACACATTTACATGTATAGATTTATTCCAAATGGCTCCCGTGCCTCCGAGTGCCTGACGGACGATTTGTCACGGCGTCGGGATGTGACGTGTTGCCTTTGGCTTCACCTGCACAACGATGAGGAGGAATTTGTCGTCTTTCTTCTCTGTTTTAAAGTAAAAACAGCATATTTTAGCTCAAAAGCTCTGAACCTGAGGAAACTGTTTATTGCATAGAAACTGCATAAAGTGCTTTGTTAGTGTGTTTCCTGCTTTTAATGTGGAGAAAATAACAGCAGTGCTGTGCAAACATCACAAGACTGAAGCATGTGTTTCTCTCTGCAGTTGCCCTCAACAATCGAAATGGAGGGAAGGATGGTCACAATAAAACAGGAGGAACAAATACCAAGATGCCCGAGGGTGAGCTTCTGCTGCAGGTCAGTTATGAACCACCAAAAGCACCATGACTACAACAGAGCAGCCCTTTATCATCACTGACCATGTGCAACAAAACTGTGACGCCTTTGTCTATATCATTATTTATTAATTAGTCAAACATGTTGTCTTTAGTGTTAGTTTGCTGTTAGGATTCAGTTCCAGGGATTCCCAGCTGGGAGCATCATGCAGGCTCTGGGACTCAGCTCTCGATGAGACTGTCTTTAACATTTTACTCTGTTCACGTGACTTATTGTTTCATTTTTGTACATTTGAGAACTGCATTAAAACTGCTGTGTTGCTCGTCTCAGTGTTGTTCAAATATGTTTGACTCCATCTGTGCAGGAATAATACGATTTAGCTTCTTTATACTTAAAAATACCTGAAGTTTTAAAACCACACTTGTATAAATGTTTGTGTGGCAGACATGTGTAAAAAAATGATAGTAACCTCTTTATGACAAAATCACAAAGTGTGTGAGGGATGATTCACTGCCATCCTCACATCGGTTCACACTGGTGCAATTAAACATCGCCTGAGCTGCTCAGCTGCAGCCAGCGAGCTGATGAGTAAAGGAGCAGTAATTTGCACTTTTGTGTCCTTGGGTCATGTGTGAAAACAGCGCTACTGTCATTCTCATAGCCACGAACAGCAGGAGGCTCAGTGTCTGTTGGAGCTACTTCAACGACGTTACTGCTCAAGTCTTCATCAAGTCAGTGTTTATATTTGGATTTCATCCATAAGCCAGCGCGTAGCATAAGAACTCGTTCCTCAGGAACACCTTGGGACTTGACAAATTGTCGGGATGTTACGCCTCGGGAGTGAGAACGGGCTGTAAATGCCTGGAGTGTTCCCAGGACTCACATCCACCAGGTTACTGGTTTGGTTAATCCACGGCCTCTTTATGGACCAGTTTGTGCAAATGTACTGTAAATATCACAGACTTCAGCTCTAATCAAATACAAATTAGGTGACCTGGAGAGTGTGACAGGATAATCTGAGAGAAATGTTGTTATGAGATATTTTCTGGAATTTCAGGTAGAAATTATTGATCAAAAATCCAGTTTGACTTCTAACAGAAAGATAAGAGCTTTGTGCCGTCTGTGCTGCGTGTGTGAAGAAAGCTTGCTGGCTGCCGGAGCTTTTCGGGATCGGCTGCAGTCTTTGATTTTCCAGCCCACTTCCTTCCAATGTGCATCACACTGGCATTCCAGGAGAGCTGAGGAAACGGGCTCCTTTCTCCAACATTCTGACTTCTTTCACATGATAACTGTACGTTTCCCCAAACTGTTTAAAGTGAAAGGTCATTTGTAGATGAGTCAGGAGGCGGTGCTCCACAGAGAACTTGCTCCTCATGCTCCTGATCCTCAGAATAAGCGAGGAGATGAACAGTGATGGTTTGTCTCCAAAGAATAGGCTTCATAAAAGGAGTTCTTGTATGAAGCCTCTTCCTTTGCTGTTCTTCACATCAGATGGTAGTGAATTATAGAGGAGCCAGTCAATTATTCAAACAGAGAATGGAGGAAATATGGCAGAATTTAGTAATTGTGCTACTTTTCCCTTTTAGGTAATGTTAATAATGAACACAGTGAAGGTTCACACAACAGCTACGACAACACAGGACACAGGCTGCCTGCTTTTAGTCTGGAAACCAAGACGTACACAGATGATGCCTGAAGTAAACCCTGACAGCTCGGAGGTTAATGATACCATGAGGTGCTAACTGGTTTGATTCTGGATGATTCAGGAAGAGTTCAGACATGAACTGTTTGTGTCGCCCAGTTTCAGTGGCTGTTCATGCTCCCTGAAGGAAGCAGGTCATGGGAGGGCATCAGCGCTGTGCTATCAGAGAGGAGTGTGTGTGTGTGTGTGTGTGTGTGTGTGTGTGTGTGTGTGTGTGTGTG